AATCTGGCATTTGGTCTAACTTTGCATGGGTGAGGAAAAACAAACTGACTATGTGGAAGGCTTTTCAATGCTGGGAGGAATTCCCTGCTTCCTCATCCCCCTTCCCAGCTCATCTGTACCAAAGATTGATCTCTGCTCTTTCTATCCAAGGTGAAATGCTTTGGGGGCCCAAGCTCATGAGTGAGAAGGAAAACATCTCTTGTGGCCCATATCATAGCTGGAGCAAGTAAGAGAAAAGTCCATTATTGTGTCTTCTGCCTCTAAGGGACGAGAGAGTATCATTAGGAAGGGTGACAGCACAGGGTTTTCATTAGGAAAAAGGAAGGTTTCATGCAAAGCCAAGTTACTTTCATTGCTATGGAGGCTTCATGGCACTGTAGTTCTTGGGTGTGGGCTCAGTCCCCCCATTGAGACTTGTTTATTCCAAAGCTCAGAAGGTTTCTGGGAAGTGCTGTAATAGCTGGGAGGAGATCCCATGGAGAGGGTGGATTCTCTGGGACACATGCTGTTTAACAATGCCACTGTCTGCAGAGAAACAGAAAATAAACAATGCAGAATCCCTGCCGTAAACCATGCACAAACACCAGAATATGAATAGCCTCTCGGAAGGTGGCTAGTGCCAAGCAGTTTTGCTGCTGTTGTTTATTGTGGTAGAGGAACTAGAACCAGCTTTTCAAAATAGGTCAATATTGCTCATTCATAATGGGTTAATGGTTTCTGCAGCTGAAACTGAAGTATAATGGTTCCTGGTGAAATGGGGGAAGCATCTGTAGAAAGCAAATTTGGAAGCAGTGAAAACTGTCATGAATTAATTTTGTTTTATTCAGACATCTTGGGCAGGGAGAGCAAAGGCCCTGTTTGGATAGCTGTTGCAATTGCAAGCAGTAAAGGATGAGGGATTGTATCTGAGGACTGATCAGTGAAGCACCGGGTAGAGATGCAGGTGAAAGCAGTCAGATGGGTGGGAGCACAGCATAGCTGGAGTGGCTCTGAGGGTGGGTTCCTTCCAGCTCAGAGTGTTCTGGGATTCTGTGTCACTGAGCCCTGTGAGTGGCTCTGCAGAGTAAATCAGAAGGTGCTGAGGTCAGTGCTGTTGGTGTTTCTGAGGTTGTTTTCCTCTGGATTAGATCTACTCTCCAGTTCTCAGGATTGGATGTGGGTGTCTGGAGGGTTTTTGGTATGCTCTGGCATGTCTCTCTGTCTGGCTTCATCTGAGAGGAGTCCCCTTTGCACCCTCCAAGATCACCTTGTGAAGTGAACCAAGAGTGGGGACGAGCTGGAGATCTGCTTCAAAAGCCCCTGTTTGAATGCAGAGGCTTGTGTTGGTGTGTTCTAGGCATGCTGACCTATGTCTGAGGAGGGAAGTAGTGCCTGGGGCATGCCAGCTGCACATCTGTAAAGCCCCAAAGCATGTGTTTGAGCCAAGAGAGAGTGCAGGGTGCCTTGATACTGCCAGTTGCCTCTTGTGTTTATTCTGTGCATGCAGGTCAGCTGAGAGGGGATTGTTATATTCTTCTGTCTGCAAGTTTTGGGCAATCCAGAGAATCAGTGGCTTTTGAGAAGCAGCTCCCTGAGCCTTTGACAAGGCCACTGAAAATTATTTGTGCCTTTGGGGAAGAAAGGTGTTTAGCAGTGAGCCTGTGCACACTCAGTGCCTAGGTGGTAGTGACTCTCATTTGCCCTCTATTCATCCCTCCCAGCCATTTGCAAGGACACCTCCTGCTGAAAGCAGAGAAGCAGCTGCTGTGTCTTTGAGTGAACTGGAGACAAGGGCTTTCCCCAGAGGAGCCAGGTCACTCTAAAATAAGATAAACACCACCTATGCTAATTGCAGTGGAAAACTGAGAGCAGCTTGTGTTGGGCTGCTGTGTGTTGTCCCTAAGCAGGGATTATGCAGAGCAGCTGGGTTCCAGAAGGGCTCTGGAAAAAAAAGATGCTCAGAAGGGAACAGTGTCTCCTGCACTGAGGGGCGGTTTTCAGGTGTGGGGAGTTTTTTTGAAGATATATTTTTAGGAGCTGCTGGTATCTGCATTTAGGTTGTGAGCCCTGGAGCCTGTTTTCTATCCACAAATGTGTTCTGCAGTGAAGATCAGTTTGTCAGCACTCTTTTTGATTTTGTTTTCCCTACTAACATATGACCCACTGTGGGTCATGTGAAGGAGATAGGGATGGTATGTGACAGGAGAGAGGCTGCAGTCTGCAGCTGACTCTCCAGCAGGGCTTGGTGCTTGGAACATTCCCAAGTGCAGCATCTCCCTGTGGGCCAGTGCAGCTGGACACAGCACAGAGTGAGTGGTGTATCTGGGATACCACTGGGGTGGATGGGGTGTGTATTTTGGTGAAGTAGGACATGCTGGACATTCAGCAGCTCCTGCCCCAGCTACTCAAGTGCCCAGCAAGAATAAACCCCAAGGGGTTATTCAGAGATGAGGGAAACAAAATCCTTTTCCTTGAACAGAAGCAACATAGCCTTATGCATCAGTGGCTGGTGAGTATACAGTGGTAGTAGCTTCCAGCAGATATCCAGTTGGGTCAGGTCCTAAACTTGATAGTAAGAAGCTCTCAAAGCTTAGTGCTGCACCTTAAAGCTCTTTAGCTCCTCCCTAGCAGCAGGCACTGTAATGATTAAAGCTCTCTGATTGAATATATAAATGCCTGCAGCCGCTGGAGCTATTCCTTAGGTCAGATTTTCACTGCCTCTGGTTCAAGGTTACAATTCTGCCAGCGATTCCCACTGAGTGTTATCCCAAGGCACATGAGTTCTGCCAGGGTTCCTGCTGTTCTTGCCAAACCATGTCTGCATTGGCCCCATTGCAAACCAGGTCCTGAAAGGAGCAGAGCAAAAATCATGGGGACCCTTTGGGCCTGACCTGCAAGCATAGCAATACATTCTGTTTGTCCTGCAAGCTCTCCAGCAATGAAGAAAGCAAATACCAGTCTGGAAATAGCTTGTCTTGACTCTCCAGTCTTGTTAGAGTGCAGACTAATACTGCTTACCCTGCTGTAGTTGTGCTCTGAGCTTGCCTGCCAAGGACAACCATCCTTGTGTTTCAAGAAAGCCATGGTAAACCAAAGCAATGTACCCTTAAAATTGTGCTAGACAAGCTTTTGAAAGCTCAAGAATTAAGGAAGTCTGGATGGATGAGAGAATCAAAAATTCTTGAAGGATCATCTGGCCTCACGGAACAGACTGAATTCTAGCTATTTTAGGAGTAGATATTTTCAGATTATTCTTTTAGGTACCCCTTCACTGAATTATTAGGCATGCCTGACAGTCTGCTGCATAGAATACCTTGAAGAATGAGGGAAATTTTATCTCTTCTCAAACACCAGGGAAGGGAGACATATGGAGACTAAAATCCACATCCTCAAAGGATTGTAGATTTGTAATTTGCACTGGAAAGTGGTGGAGATAGCAGGATTTCCTCAGGGTTATGGTTAAGCTGATTGACTTTGCTGGTATATAGGCATGTAATTGATTATCTTGGAGGCTCTGGGTCTAAGCATTTTCCTTAGATGGTGTCTGTAGGGGAGGACAGCAATGAGACTGTTTCCTGAGCCAGTCTTTCCTCAGTTCTTCCCTGAATCACTGCTGCTGCCCGTGATGCTGTTTCTTACCCTTGCCTCTGAACCAGCTGATCTGAGCTCTGTGGGCTCTGATTTTTTGGTAAAGTTATGAGAGGCGTTGTCTTTCAGACTCAAAGCACAAGACCCTTCTCTTCTGCTATCGTCCTGTTTTCAGCTGTTCAGTCTGAAGTGCCTGGCCTTGCCTCTCCTTGCCTAACCTCTCAAAAACAGCCACGAATTTTTGAAAAGGGCCTTGGTTTGCCCTGCCAGTACTCTTTAATTTTGCTTTTCCTCCTTGCAAGCCACACTGAAGCAGCGCTTTGCTATTCTCCGGGAGGAAAATAAAAAAAATAAAAAAAAAAAATAAAGTAGGTCATGGTGTCGTGTAAGGCAGCCGAGCCCTAACATGGAGCCAGGCGAGCGGAGCGCAAAAAAGCCCCTGCGGGATGGAGGATGATGAATGAGCAGCTGTGCGGGATAAACAGGGATGAAGGGATGGACGGGAACGCAGGAGCCGAGCGCGGCAGGTGGAGGCGCCGGCGGCCGCTCCGCTCCGGGGCTGGGGGGCTCCAGCTCCGCTGGACCATGCGCCCTCTCCCGGCACAGGTGCTCCCTCTGGAACAGCTTTCCTTGCTCCTACAAGCAATGGCGATGTTTGATTTTGTTTGTTTGTGTTTTTTTTTTTTTTTAATCGTGGTTTTCTTCCCCTTGCCCCGCAGTTCGATCCAAATAACACTTGCAGAAAGCATGGGACAGGCATGGAAAACCACTCTTAGCCGACCAAAACAATCTTTGGTTGCAAATATATTTTTTAATTTTTTTTTGTCCTCTTTATAGATTAGAGTCCCCTTGTTTATGTCAGTTGTGTTTTGTTTTTTTCATAATTAACTTTTGAAAGAAGGAGGGGGTTTTATGCCTGCTGGCTCTCTTGATTCTCACCCAGCATTACTCACTGGGCCTGCAATAGATCTCTTTGGAATATAGACTCAAGCCTGACCTTATCACTGAGGCAGGATTCCACCCTAGTGTTTAAAGAGAGAAATTCAGGTCTGGAGATGTGGCTCATCCCAGTAAGTATCGCTTAACTTGAAATACTGATTACAATTTAGTGTGGATGATGAACTTTGCTACGTGCCTAATTTAGAATTTCAACCTATTAAAAAACCCCAAAGTTAAAACCACCAAAACCAAGGGTGAGAATCAAACTCAAAAGACAAGAATATTTCAGAGCAGTGCCAACTTGAGAGCTTGGATGTTAATCTTGCTGTAGTCCTGTAGATACAGGGCTTGATTTTAACTCTCACCAGCCTGTTAAGGCATCACTATTGCCACTTGAGACAAATTCACTTTGGGTTTGTCCTGGCTCAACATGATTTGCAGGGCTCCCAGTCCTCCAAAGCACATGCAGCAAGGACAACTTACTTCTTCCACAGGTCTCAAACCCCAGCCTCAGAACTGGGGTGGGAGCCTGCTGGGAGGAAGTGATCCTGGGTTAAGAGGCTCAAACTGTCAAAGGTTAGAAGTGGGGATTCTTTTAGAATTTGGAGGACTTGATTTTTTTTTTTTCTGTAGCCCTGTTCAGAGAAACCAAAAGTTTTCTATGTAGGGCTGGCATTTAAATCCTCCTCATAGCTCCCATCCTCTGGCTATAAATTCCTCTTCAGCCACTTGAGGCAAAACTTCCCTTGTACCCAGCGTTTGGGGGATGAAGCTGTCATGTTTAACAAGCTGAAATATTCTTGTGGTTTTCCCCCACTCTTTCCCTGTATCAAGCAGGGCTGGTGGAACAGAGCTGGGCAGTCTCCTAATGTTGTCAACATTTGCTGCCTGAGCTGCACAGAATTCAGTGCTCAAGTCCTGTGTCAGAATGCTTCTCGAAACCTTCATCTTTTCTGGTTCTTCAGCCAATTTGCTTCTGCAAATGCTTGGAAATGCTGGTGAGTGGTGGAAGCAAGCAGCCTCCAGTCTAACCAAGGATTTCTACTGCTGCTGGCTCTGTAGAAGAGATTTTAAGGTCAGTTTTAAAATAGTTCTCCCTAGAAAGAGCTGGTTCAGGAGGATGACACTAGCTAATATGCACAGATCAGAGATCTGCAGCCAGTTGTTCCTGTAGACAGCCTGTATCTGGTGTTTGAGCTGAACTCTGGTATGCAGAAAGCTCTTCTGTCCAAAGTGAGAGTCTCAGCAGTGCCAAGGACCAATTACCCCTTCCCTGTCAAAAGTGAGTGTCCTGTTTACTGTTTGAACTGGCTGACTCAAAATTCCAGCTTCTGTCTGTGCTTCTAAAAGATTTTGGTGGCAAGGTCCTTTGAATGCTCTGCAGACATCAACCAGCCTCCTTGATGCCCCTGGAAGGCTGCTTGGTGAGGAGGACACCCCTTGCTCAAGACAAGGGACTACCAGCAGTGGAAGGGGTGGCTGCCCATCCCTGTCCCCACGCTGGTGTCCTGGCTCCTGCTGCCATGCTTGAGGCACCTGACACCTCTGTGCCTCCCCTCACAAAGGCTCTGCTTGTCCTGCAGCTCCCAGCCTGTTTTATGAGCGGAAACTGAGTCAGCACACGGTGCTCACTGACGCCGGCCACTGCTGCTTCTCCTACCCACTAGCTGCGAGCTTGGAAAACAGTTTGAAGCAGAAGCATAAAATGGGCTTTGTTGAAATGTGTTAGCTCACCTGGAGTCTTCAGAACCTGTGTGTGTATTTTAGGAAGCAGAATAACCCAACTTTACAACTTGCAGTATTTGGAAGCACAGCACAATTATGTGGCTGTTCCAGCCCCTGGGAGACTGGGAGATGAAAATAATGGTTTTTGAGGTAGTAAGTGGGGTGGAGAGAGCCTTTGGGAAGCAGCAGTAGATTAAATGGCATCAAAGCATTGCTAGTGTTCATTTATTTTCCCAAAGGCCTTTAGGTCTTCTATTAGGCTCTCCCTAATTATTTGTAAGGCAATAAATCCAATCAGAATACTGAAAGAGGTTCACCCAGACCAAGAAATGTGCTTTAATGTTCCTCCTAGTGCATTCTATTATTAATCATGTTTAGAAGGTTGGCTGGTACTGCCTTTTTCCCCCCTCATTTTGTGTTTGTGATGAGCAATAGGTATCCTGATAACCAAAGCTTCAGCATTTCAGAGCCAAATTTGTGCCAATAGTGTCTCTTTGCTCATTTCTTTCTTCCCTTACTCCTTAAATACTAGGAGTTGTAACAAAGCCTGCTGTCAACCTTTGGCTTGGGTTCTAAACACTGACCCACATCCAAATTTCGCAATTGGTTCCATTTGTTACAGTGGATGGAACTAATTCTCTAGATCCAAGTACAATTAGATGAATCTAGATCATAATTCTGGGCACTGAATTAAAAAAATAAGTTCATTTCCTTTTATCTTCTCCTTCCATTGACTAATAATAGTCCAGTACAAGCCTTTCCTCTTCAAAAATCTATTATGAGCCTCCTCAAAGGCCAGTGAAGCCTATAGAGAGAGAGCATGACAACCTGGGAGAGAACAGCTTGTCTTCACATGCTTGCAGGACCAAAGCAGTGGAAATACATACTTTGGGGGGCTTCCAAATAATCATCTTTCTTTTAGTTTTGCCTCATGCCCTGGCCTCTGCATTTTAACACACTCTGGATTGTTTGATTACCTGTTTTGACTTTCATTGTTCTGAACTGTACAGCAATGGTTTTGTGCACTTTTGCACTGGCCAGCAGCTGAACCATTGCTTTGTGATTCAGGTCCTGTGCGGTACCATGCCAGTGTTGGGGATGCTCTGGGGCTAAAACTTCTAGCCTGGAATGGAAAGATCACAAAGCTGCCTGTTCTCTGTGATCACTCTGGGTTTGGTGCTCTCCCTCCTGAGAGATGGCTCCTCTGTCAACATCCCCAGCACAAACTAGACACCCCCAGTGCTGACCCTGGAGCTTGGAAGACAGCTTAATCCTGTTTCAGTAGTGCTATTTCATTTCAGGATCAAGCCCAGTAGCAGCCCAGAGCTTTTAGGTTAGTTACTGTCCTGCTGAAATAAAAAGCTGAGTTCACGGTGACCTTATGGTGGGATTGACTCTTTATTTTGTTTTCTGGGGACTGATTCATAAAATAGGCCCAGAGGAAACAGGCCAGGAACACATGCTATTCATAATAATGCCTCCAGAGAATAGCTCATTTCTTTTTCTCTTCCAAGGGTATTGTGAGGCTTGTGTACTTCAAAACAGATCTGGCACTGACAGTGCAGATAAGTTAATGAAAGTCTGCAGAGAGTTTGGGGTTTTTAATTTTTTCCCCTTTAAACTAAGGATAATAAGTTCTAATGAAACCCTATTTTAAATTTGTATTCTTTTTAACATCCCTTACTTGTAGTTCTGAAGAGCTTTGCCAGCTTGTTCCACATCTTGAAGAACAGAGGATATCTTGAGTTGCTGTGTAGCAGCAGGAGAATGCACAAATCTTAAATTTCTGAAGAACCACGAGCAAGTTACTCATGCAGTGTCAGGAGAGTCATCTGTAATTCTTTTAGTCTACCGAGTCCTGGGGAAACAGCTGGAGCATTGTGTACAATTTGCTGAGCACATTTCAGGGAAGATGTGGACAATGGGGAGATGCCAAAGGAGAACAGGGAGAACAATTGTAGATCTTAAAAACATAACCTCAGAACAAGTAGGGGGGAAAAGCTGACTTAACTGTAATTAAAATAAAGTACAAAAAGAGTTTTCAAAAAATGTAGAAAAACCCATGCAGAGAGGGAGAAGGACACTGTTTTCCATCGTAGAGGAGGTAGGTTGGGAAATAATGCACCTAAATTGTAACAAGAAAGAATCAGGTTGGGCACTTCAGAAACCTTCCCAGTGGTAGACACTGATGCAGTAATTTGAAATATTCAGGAATGTCATGGGGTTATTGTCACTAGAGATTTTTAAGGTGAGGTTAGCCAAACATGTTAAAAATAACATACCTCATGCTCAGTTACCAGAAGTGACCAATATTTGCTTAGGGTGCTTTCTAATAACTGTCTAATACATAATTCAAGCTTTTTGAATCGTAATTTCCAATGCTAAGGGAAACTTAGCCACCCTTAGCATTGAAAACCTTAGTATTTATAACAGAGAAAAATCTTTTTTTAAGCTAAGCTACCTTCTCTATTGACTTCAGCAGATCTTGGATTGTGTTTGCAGGTATCGCAGAGAGTAAACCAGTCTAAGATACCCAAGGCGTTGAGGCCTGAGACCTCAGCTGAAATGGGTGCTTTGAAATTATGTAAGAGGAAGCAGAATTACATAGCCAAAATGTAATTCTCATGATGTTTAGCCCACATTAACCCCAGAGGGAAATGTCAGCTGGTTTTCCCAACACTGATGCTTATTAGACCATGAAATATTTTTCCCTATGGGAGATGCTTAGAAGTGAATTGGACAAAGTGCTGGAAAATGTAGGATCCTGTATGGTTTGGAGACAAGAAGTTCCATTCAGTTGGGACATCTGAACTAGGTTCAGTTTCTTATTTTGTCACTGTTTTATTGTGTCCTATTCCTGCTTTCAGATATGCTGTGTGTTCAATTTAGCAGCAGTGATGCTAAAGCAAAATAGGGGCACATACATTCCTGTGTTTGAAAGTCAGCAGTTTAAAGTTTATTGCAAAACTGTGGACCATCAATCAGTCTCAGGCACTCTGACAAAGTGCTGATATCTCAGCTAATTCCCTGCTGTTCTGCTTTTAGAAAGCAGCATGACATCTGTAACAGCTGTATGGGGGTCATTTCTACCACTGACCTGCACAAGAGGCAGCAGTGAAATGAGAATTGTGTTTCTGCTTGCATGTTGGTCTAATGCAGGTCTCAAACTCTCCTTTGGTCCAGGAGGTAGCAATGCCTGTTCTTTTGCATTACCTGTGGAGATATCTCTTCAGGAACTTGCCCAGAGCCCTCCTCTAAGAGTTTTTTTTTCAAGTGACATGCAGTCTGGTATGATCTGGCTTTGTTTTTAGTGCTTTTCAGAGAACAGCTTAAATTTTTCTTCGTTTGTTTTGCTTTGTCCCTTATTACTCTGATGTAGAATATTCCACTCTGAAGCACACACGATTGATTATTGTCATGGCTAACCAAGCAATGCTACTTACCATGCTCTTGTTTTTCCAGAGAGCAGCTGAGAAGCAGGCCTGTAAGCTTGCTGTGACTTCTGAGTGTGTGCCTAAGTGTAGTCAAACTCTGAAGATGATTAAGCAAAAGGCTTGATACACATGTTAGAAAAGATTGTTGTAATGTTCCAAATACTCCTGGATCAGTCCTGTACAATTAGAGGTCAGAATTCAGGCTGACATTGGGGTTTCTTTTGCATATGGCTGGGAATAAAATGTAAATGGATCTGAAGAAACTCCTAAATGCAGAAAAGTTATCTAACCAAGTTTATCCTTGTGTTCCCATTTGAAAAAGGCAAAGCCATAGAACTCACCAGAGAACCTTTTCTGTTCTCTAGGTTTGTAGATCCTGTACTCCTGAGTATCTGATTTCTTTGCCTGGTTTGGCTATCTTGTTTTTATCCTTGCTTCTCCCAGCTTCATTAGAGTATTGCTTGTGTCTAATCAGTCTGTACTGTCCTTCAACTTTTGGCTGTCTTTCTTACACTGCATTATGTGTAATGCAGAGATAGAAGCTGCTCCAGGAGGTTTTCTAGCTCAGCATGATGCCATACCAATATTAACATCTGAATGTGTGACCTTGTTAGTTCAGTATATGCAAGGTAGGTATTTTTCATCTGTCCAATGCACTGCTTATTATTAACGAGGTGTGCTGTGTAAAACAGTACCATTAAATTTCTCCCAGCTGGAAACCATATTTAGTGTTAACTTACCCATTATAGGATTTGGGGAGAACTTGAGCCATGGCTTAGAATACAATTCTGGTAACAAATTATTCTGTAGCTAGGCACTAATGCTGTATGACACCCTATAGCCATTATATTAGCATGGGCTCATGAGCAAAATCCTAAATTTATGTAGTGGGTGCAAGGATCCTTCTTCATGTCATGGTTTGTTTCTTGTGGGACTTGCTGGAAGCCAAATAAAGTCTGCTATTTCCAAAACCATCAGGGAGAAATTAATGAATCAACATAGTAAATAACTCACTGCTTATTTCCTGAAACAAAGATCACCTGTAACATCCAAGGGGTAGCTGCCTGGCAGGAGGCTGGTGGCACCTTAGAGCGTATAGGAATGTTGGGACTGGGTAGAGAGTAGGGACAAGTGGATACACAGAACCAAGTGTGTGGTTTGGGCTATGAGACCTTTTTGTCAGGTGTTGGTGCCTCTTCAATGGCTCTTTCTGTTCCTTGATAATAAAGCCCATGTTTGTGTGGGATCTGACCTCAGGAGAGGTTAACGCTTCTACTGAGAAAAGCCAAGTCACACTTCTTTCAATCCTGTTTGCTGTTGCTTGCAACGCTGTTTCTATTTGTGTTGTCCTTTGGGTGTGATGCCTGCTAGGTGGGAATTGCCTTAAGCTTGGTTTGTTTGGTGAGAGAAGGAAGGCCTGTTTGTTGGGTATGTTCTCTTCTGAACTTCAACTTTTGCCAACTTAGTGCCAGCCCTCAGGCTAAAGACACAGGTGTGAAGTGAGGTGAGCTATAAAAAGAAAAATACCCAAACCCCCAAAATACATGGAGTAGGCTTGTGAATGGGGGAGAGGAGGAGGTTTGCTGCTGATTCTGGGTTGTGTGGAAGGCAAGGAGGGTCTGGACCTGTGTTTCAGCAACTCAGGGTATCCTGAGGCCCTGTGTGCACCTACTGACAGTGCTGCAGCAGGTAGCTGGAGAGTAGGGTGTCCTATGTAGGAGCCCTCTGACTATGCCTAGGGTGGGAGAGGCTGCTTTTCTCCTTGTCTTTAAGGATTTAGTCTACCCAGAGCAGAACAAACAACATGGGAGCTGCCCCACACCAGCTTCTCCTCTCAGAGCAGGCTCAGAGACTGCAACTTTCATGTTAAACTGGTCTAAGGTCACCCTTGAAATCAATCTCATGCTTGAACTGTGGAAGATATTGCTT